GGCCTGGGTTCGATTCCCAGCCAGAGTAGAAACATTGGACGTGTTTCTTTCCACCTGTTGTCTATGTTCTCCATCAGTAAAATGGGTACCTGGGTGTTAGTCGACTGGTGTGGGTCGCATCCTGGGACACTGACCTAAGGAGGCCTGGTCACAGACCGGGCCGCGGGGGCGTTGACCCCCGGAACTCTCTCCAGATAAACTCCAGATAAACCAAACAGTACCAGCAGGTTGGTGTGGCAACCCTGGAAATTTGAAATTATGCTAGCCAAAATTAGTGCCGAATAACTGATTGCCGGATTTGTGATGGCGGACCTGTATTTATATAAAAATAATAATAATAATAATATGTATAATAATAATATGTATAATAATAATACGTATAATAATGTATGTATAATAATAATACATATATAAAAATAATGTACTATATATAATAATAATAATAATAATAATAATAATAACAGACGGCTTCATAAGGCCGTCACTAGATGGCAGTGTTTACCACAACAAAGAGGGAGTGGTTGTGGCCGCCTCCACCTGTTAGATAATGACATATTTTACTCATTCTAGAGTATGTATATATCATGTTTATATGTAATTTATATTGTTTGTTATGTCATATTAGATGAACTGTGATAGATAAATAAGCTGTATAGATGATATTAGCGAAATTATTCATGAAATATTTTGCCCGGTCTCCAGACAAACTCGTCCACCGCCGACACCGCCCATACCACTACATGAATGACATTTTATTCATTCCAGAGTATATATCAGATTTCTATGTTATTTATATTGTTTATTATGTCATATTAGATGAAATGAGATAGATAAATAAGCCGTAGAATTGATATTAGCGAAATTATTGAAGTACATAATTCCACTGGAACGGATTAATTGCATTTCAGTTAATTTAAATTAGGAAAATTAACTCTGCAAACTAGCAAATCCAGTTGCGAGCAAGGTCATGGAATGGATTAAACTCACAAGTAGAGGTTCCACTGTATTTATAGATGGGGTTGTAAGAGAAGTAAATGCGAGGGTCTTGGCAAGAGGTGTGGAGTTAAAAGATAAAGAATCAAACACAAAATGGGAGTTGTCACAGTTGCTTTTTGCTGATGACCTTGTGCTCTTGGGAGATTCTGATGAGAAGTTGCAAAGGTTGGTGGATGAATTTGGTAGGGTATATACAAAGAAAAAGTGAATATAGGAAACAGTAAGGTTATGAGGATAACAAAAAGAGTAGGTGACGAATAGATATCAGATTGGAGGGAGAGAGTATGGAGGAAGTGAATGTATTCAGATATCTTGGAGTGGACGTGTCAGCAGATGGGTCTATGAAAGATGAGGCAAACCACATAAGTGATGAGGGGAAAAGGATGAGCGGTGCACTTAAGAGTCTGTGTAGACGAAGAAATTTTTCCTTGGAAGCAAAGAGGGGAATGTATGAGAGTATAGTCTTACCAACGCTCTTATATGGGTGTGAAGCATGGGTGATGAATGTTGCAGTGAGGAGAAGGCTAGAGGAAGTGGAGATTTCATGTCTGAGGGCAATGTGTGGTGTGAATATAATGCAGAGAATTCATAGTTTGGAAGGTAGAAGGAGGTGCGGGATTGCCAAAACTATTGTCCAGAGGGATGAGGAAGGGTTGTTGAGGTGGTTCGGACATGTAGAGAGAATGGAACGAAACAGAATGACTTCGAGTGTGTTTAAATCTGTAGTGGAGGGAAGGCGGGGTAGGGGTCGGCCTAGGAAAGGTTGGAGGGAGTGAGTAAAGGAGGTTTTGTGTGCGAGGGGTTTGGACTTCCAGCAAGAATGCGTGAGCGTATTTGATAGGAGTGAATGGAGACAAATGGTTTTTAATACTTGACGTGCTGTTGGAGTGTGAGCAAAGTAGCATTTATGAAGGGATTCAGGGAAACCGACAAGCCGGACTCGTGTCCTGGAGATGGTAAGTACAGTGTCTGCACTCTGAGGGAGGGGTGTTAATGTTGCAGTTTTATAAACTGTGGTGTAAAGCATCCCTTGGCAAGACAGTGATGGAGTGAATGATGATGAGTTTTTCTTTTTCGGTCCACCCTGCCTTGATGGGAATCAACCGATGTGTTAATAAAAAAAAATAAATTATCATTTGACATTATTGCTACTCCTCCTTTAGCTCCAACTATTTGAAACCCCTGACCTAATCCCATTTATTTCTCCCCACAAACTCTTCCACCCCCTTCAGCTTTGTTTCACTTGAAGCCAGGACATCCAGCTTCTTCTCATTCATAACATCCACAATCATCACTTTCTTATCATTCGCACAACATCCATGCACATTCGAACATCCCACTTTGACATTTTTGTTTTTTCTTTTTAGTAGGCTATAAAGGAAAATGGGTTACTAGCCCATTGTTCCCAGCATTTTAGTTGACTTTTTACCACACGCATGGCTTACAGAAGAAAGATTCTTATTCCACTTCCCCATGAATATAAAAGGAAAAGCAATAAGACCAAGAACTATTAAGATCAAATCAAAGAAAACTAAAATGAGTGTGTATATATAAATGTGTACACGTATGTGCAGTGTGAGCTAGTATAAGTAGAAGTAACAAGACATACCTGAAATCTTGCATGTTTATGAGACTAAAAAGACACCAGCAATCCTACCATCACGGAAAACAATTACAGGCTTTCATTTTACACTCACTTAGCAGGACGGTAGTATCTCCCTGGGTAGTTGCTGTCTAACAACCTACATGAATACAGTTACAGATTATTATACATAGCAGCATATGTATAGAGAACCAAGGATAACCTAAAATAAGTCAGAGAGATTTATTTCCAGTACCTGGCTTGGGCCTAGGTAGTAGGTTGGTAAACAGCAACCGCCCAGGGAGGTACTACAGTCCTGCCAAGTGAGTAAAACGAAAGCCCGTAATTGTTTTACATGATGGTAGGATTGCTGGTGTCCATTTTTCTGTCTCATAAACATGCAAGGTTTCAGGTATGTCTTGCTACTTCTACTTACACTTAGGCCACACTACACATACATGTACAAGCATATATATACACAGGCCTCTGGGTTTTCTTCTGTTTTCTTACTAGTTCTTGTTCTTGTTTATTTCTCTTACCTCCATGGGGAAGTGGAACAGAATTCTTCCTCCGTAAGCCATGCATGTTGTAGGAGGCGACTAAAATGCCAGGAGCAAGGGGCTAGTAACCTCTTCTCCTGTATATACAGTGGACCCCCGGTTAACGATATTTTTTCATTCCAGAAGTATGTTCAGGTGCCAGTACTGACCGAATTTGTTCCCATAAGGAATATTGTGAAGTAGATTAGTCCATTTCAGACCCACAAACATACACGTACAAACGCACTTACATAATTGGTCGCATTGGGAGGTGATCGTTAAGCGGGGGTCCACTGTATTACTAAATGTAAAAGGAGAAACTTTCGTTTTTCCTTTTGGGCCACCCCACCTCGGTGGGATACGGCCGGTGTGTTGAAAGAAGAAGACCTGGCTTGGGCTTGCCATATATGTTTTTTTGGTAAATATTTTTGTTTTAGTTGTTTGTTGGGGTATCTCACTGAAACTTCGGCAATGTACGATGGAAAGATGCTTCTAAAGTTACACCAAAAATTAACAAAAATCAGACGATAAATATCTGAGTTCACTTCTCAGCCGTTCGCCACCCCTTAGCGGTATATTTTTGTATGGTTTTTATGGCTGCATTCTCTTTTTTTTTTTTTTTGGTCTTATTTGATGGAATGGAAGAAATATTACAAAAATAGATATGATTTTGGTTGCTTTCACAACAAAAAGTACCTTGAAATTGAGCTCAAAGTAGCGGAAAAGTTAGATTTTTGCCGATGTTCAATTAACTTTCTTGTGCTAGAATACACTTAATAAAGTTGATTAACTTTATTAAGTGTATTCTAACCTAACCACTCTACAATCTGGCAAACTCAATAATCCGGCACACTACAAGTCCCAATGAAGCAGGATTTGTGATGGGGGTCCTGTATGTGCTTTTTGGCAACATCCAAACAAAATAAACATTAATATAAATAACAATCTAAACATGAAGGTACAATAATATCCCAAAATGCCATAACTGAAGCAGGAAATGGGAGAATGCCAGGTGGAATGATTATGAGGGTGGAAGACAAGGTAAGTAAAGAGGTGAGGAAAAATAAACTGGTTAGGTAGAGGTGAGGAGAAAGCTAAGGTTAGGTCAACTCGTCTATGTTTTGAAGAATAAAGCATATGATAATATACTGGGAAATTCAAGCACCAACAAAAACAAAATCAGGACTAAGGTGTATTAGGAATGTTGTGTAATTAACATAACACTGGCATTCTTCAATATTTATATCCAGCTATAGATAAGTTGCATTACATGCCTGTTCTACACTGTCACATATTTATTATTAAAACCTGTTAAGCTATTACTGCCCTGACTCTTGCCTGCTTTAATCTTCCTATCTTCTGTTATAATTTACTGGGAGATGCTGTGTGAAATAAACTGGGGCTACTGCATCAGAACTGCACTTCATTAGCCTGATGTTTCTACTAAGTAAACAACCAGAAATTTTTGTATCTTAAATTTATCCTCCAGGGACCTGGGACACTACTCAATATTGCTCCAAAGATTTCACAATCGAACTGGGTTTCAAATACTGATGCTCTATGGGGATCAAAGGACAACATGTCCTTACAACTTAGCACCAACAGTGTGAATGCACTCCAGAATGTGTAAATGTGTATATACAAGTATTCCCACAAAAAACATTAAATTTATCAAACGCTACAATAAAAAAAAAGCTTGCTTACAACACAGTGAATAAAATCATCGAGATTAGACAGTCAAATTAGCATCGCAAGCTACTTCAGGAAGTAGAGGCATAATGACACAGCCAACCCAAAGTAATTTCCCAGCAAGAGAACAGCAGAATTTGCAAATAATTGCACAGTACTGCAATGGAATAACAGCAATTAAATTGGTAACAAACCCCCAGTTACTGGAGACAGCTTGGCTACCAGGCCGCACAGATTGTTTAAACCTGTTGGAGGAAATGTATGGAAACAAGAATTATTATTAACATGTCTACACATCCATTTACTAAAGAGTGAATATTAAATTAGTTCCTATTACAAAGCAGAAAAGCTAATATAAAAACTTGTAATATATCTGGCAGTTAGGAAATATGGCCACACATTCATCCATGTCTCAATTATTCTCTTGTAAATGTAAAAGTAATATTCAAAACAAAACACTGTACACTTCCACTACAGGTAAAATAATTCTACATGTTGCATTATTAACATCCTCAAAACACTAGGTTCATGAGTTACACATTCACTCACTCTTGCTGCTGCTGCATATACAGTAGAGTACAGAATTATGTAGTTAAATGCATCATTACAATATACAGTGGAACCTCGTTTATCAGCAGATTCAGGCCGAGTTTTTGGTGGAAATTTTGCTCCGTATTTCAGCCGTTGCCTCGTATTTCAGCCGTTGCCTCGTATATCAGCCGTTGCCTCGTATATCAGCCGTATTAGACGTGTAAGCCCATCTCCCGCCGGGACATCGCTGCATAGGCGAGTCAGTCTCCCTTTGTCCGTCGGCGAGTGAGCACATACTCCGTGCATTCAAACATTTCCTTAACATCCATTGTTTATGGTGTTTTTTTTATCAAGTGTGACTGTGAAGTAAGTCACCATGCACCTCAAGATAGTGTTTCTAAGACAATCATTTGTAAAAATGCAAGGCAGCTGCATGCAGATCTTGGCAGAATATTATTCAATATTATTCAGGTGACAGAATATTCAATAATTTGCTAATATCAACTCTGCAGCTTGTTCATCTATCACAATTAATCTAATATGACATAATAAACAATATAAACAAAGAAACATGGTATATACTCTAGAATGAATAAAATAGTACGTCATTATATGGCGAGCGGTCGTCATCACTCCCAAGGTAAAGTAATTATCCCTCTGACCATAGCTTCCCATGCTCTCCCTTCTGAGGTATAAGAGAAAAATGGAGTTCTGGAGAGGCTAACTACACTAGATCACTATTGGAGTAAGAAAAACGGTGAAACAAATGCGATTTTCTCGGAAAAAAATATGCCAGAGGACCTATATCAAGTAGGAGGAAAAGGCACTGCCAGGACACAAGCCTATGAAAGATAGGCTTGCCAAAGTCCCAGAGAGGGCTTTAATACCTATAGTTTTTATTTTTTTTGGAAGGGGAATCTTCCTCCATGATCAGTCATCCCTCTCTCCTTCTCCTCTGACTTCCATAAGCCAACAAGTCTTTTCAATAAAGGTATGTAATAGCAATTTAAATGTTCATTTATTTATTTTATTTAGTTCTCATTGTTTTGTATATGTAAAACTATAACCTTTAAAAAATGTATTTTTTGTTAATATTTTTCGGTGTTTAACAGATGAATTGTATTCATGTTAATTCTTATGGGAAATATTGCTTCGAATTTAGGCCAACCTTCTGGAACATATTACGTCCGAAAAACGAGGTTCCACCGTATTATAATTATACCATACCATTTTCCCCTTGAATTAGCAAATCTTACCTAATGTGCATATGTTTTATACATTTAACTTGTATATTATTTACAGTGCTGTAAACCATCTCCTAAACAATTATTTACAGCTTTGCTACCTTAAGTATTGTGCTGCAGCTCCAGGTGTAGGTCTAACAGTTCTTAGTGATGACGATAATGATTAGCTGATTTCCAAATGTACATATCACACCCGGTGATTACATTATCAAAAGGAAGTGCTACACCTACAAGGGTGTGGTTACACATTCTTACTACTAGTTCACTGTTGATATTAAATCATTAATCTACTTACACCAGCTATATCTTCAGATTCTAAAATTGTTATAGATCCCACTTGCCATTTATCTTACATGTATATCAAAATTATTTACTGTAGTTATGTACTTCAAAATGATGTACAAATAAAAAATCATGCAAAATGAACTAAACAACATACGAGAAAAATATGGTTACATTCCTCTCGACCACCTTAGACGGCCCACCCCCACCCCCCTAAAAAAAAATTAGGTCTCAAAATTATAAACAGTGATGATACTGTAACTGTAGGTAGATGCAGTGATGTGTTATATTTAATATAATACTTATAGCTACCAAGATAACATATATATTTCTTACATATTTCTTACATATATTTCTTACCCTAACGATCAGAATTTAAGGTACATGATGATTTTGAAAGGAGTGGAGGGTGATGTGCCCTACTGGGCTGAAGTGGACCTTTTATGGATTGTTAGCTGAGCTGGAAGACTGCACATCTTTAACTGAGGTGGATGGCTGAGGTGCTTTCACTGATGAGCATTTTACTGGAGTACCAAAACATTCTGTAATGCATCTCTGGTCTGTTTTACCCTGCAGTGCTTTATACAACTGACAGTATGGCATCAACTGATCTAGACCCTATTTCAGAGCAGTGCTTCTAGATGCCAATGTCATCTTCAGTGAAAAAGTCTACAACTTTACCAATAACATGGAACTGTTCACATAACGGTTGCTATGTTAACATTTTCTTCAGGTTCTTCTTGTCTTCATTTATCTGCCCCCCTCTGTATCTGGGAATTAACCCTTTCTGGGTCCAGAGGCCAAATCTCAAGAGTGACAGCCAGGGTCCAAGAATTTTTGGGAAAAAAATCTTACAGAATTAAAAATAAGATTTTTCTATAGGTAACAAAACAACAAAAAATTCTGGTGAGTAGCTTCCAAGACACAGAGGCATGAAGCTGACCCTCAATGACCAGGTGGCAGCAACATCCGTGACTTCCGTAAAGTCACTTTTTTTTCTTTTACCGTTTTGTTCTTTTTCTTTAATTTTACTCTTTCTCCAGTAACATTTATGGCCTGTGAGACCAACATAATGCATAATGTATGTACACTCATTGTATTCAACACAATAACCACACAAATATTTTCATCATTACAGGTCTCCTTCAACATTCGCATTTTCCACTTTCGTGGGTTTCGAACATTCGCGAATACCCAGCCACCAAATCATATTTATTTTGAGGGCTCAAGAAATCGTAATGACACGATTGCAAACAAACCATACCCCCGGCCGGGATTGAACCCGCGGTCATAGTCTCAAAACTCCAGCACGTCGCGTTAGCCACTAGACCAGCTAGCCACAATAAGATTCATCCAACTAGGTATATTTCTACACCATAGGAAAGTTAGCACAGGCACCACTGTGACCACAAATGCAAGTTTTTACAGACGAATCTCCAGCTAGCGTAGTAATCCTCCTGTTGTGAGTCCTCAGGTCAAGAGGGGAACCTGGTCAGTGGCCGGACAACATCGAACGAAAATGAAGATCAAGAAGACTGTTGGAGTGGTAGAAACAACGAAGAACCAGAAGACTACTGTCAAAAACTTCCAACCCATTTTCGGTGCTACCCAACGAATGTGGGTTGTCTACTAGGAACATCACAACAAAAACCATGGAAGCATTGGCAAATGGGTCGACATCCCTTGAAAACCAAAGGAAGACAATCGAGAACGTCACAACGAGTTCCGCCAGTGAAGGTAAGAACATTGTTTTAGTTGGGGACAGTCAGATTAAGTTTATGGTTAGAGCCATGTGTGGTGTGTGTGTGTGTGTGTGTGTGTGTGTGTGTGTGTGTGTGTGTGTGTGTGTGTGTGTGTTGTGTGTGTGTGTGTGTTGTGTGTGTGTGTGTGTTGTGTGTGTGTGTGTGTGTGTGGTGTGGTGTGTGTGGTGTGTGTGGTGTGTGTGGTGTATGTGTGTGTGGTGTATGTGTGTGTGGTGTATGTGTGTGTGGTGTGTGCACACGTGTGTGTGTGTGTGTGTGTGGTATCTGTGTGTGGGGTGTGTGGTGTGTGTGTGTGTGTGGTGTGTGTGGTGTGTGTGTGGGTGTGGTGGTGTGTGTGTGGTGTGTGGTGTGTGTGGTGTGGTGGTGTGTGTGTGTGGTGTGTGTGTGTGTGTGGTGTGTGTGTGTGGTGTGTGTGTGGTGTGTGTGTGGTGTGTGTGTGGGTGTGTGTGTGTGTGTGGTGTGTGTGGGGTGTATGTGTGTACTGTGTGTGTGTGGGTGTGTGTGGGGTGTATGTGTGTGCTGTGTGTGGTGGTGTATGTGTGGTGTGGTGTGTGGTGTGTGTGTGTGGTGTGTGTGTGGTGTATTGTGGTTGGTGTGTTGTGTGGTGTGTGTGTGTGGGTGTGTGTGTGGTGTGTGTGTGTGGTGGTGTGTGTGGGTGTGGGTGTGTGTGGTGTGTGGTGTGTGGTGTGTGTGTGTGGTGTTGTTGGTGTGGGGTTGGGGGTGGGTGTTGTGTGGTTGTGGGTTGTGGTTGTGTGTGGTGTTGTGTTTGTGTGGTGTGTGGTGTGTTGTGGTTGGTGGGTGTGTTGTGTGGGTGTGTGGTGTGTGGGTGGTGTGTTGGTTGGGTTGTTGGGGTGGTGTGTGTGTGTGGTGTGTGTGGTGGGTGTGTGTGGTGTGTGTGTGGTGTGTGTGTGTGTGTGGTGTTGTGTGTGTGTGGTGTGTGTGTGGTGTGTGGTGTGTGTGTGTGGTGTGTGTGTGTGTGTGTGTGTGTGTGTTGTGGTGTGTGTGTGTGTGTGGTGTGTGTGTGGTGTGTGTGTGTGGTGTGTGTGTGTGTGTGTGGTGTTGTGTGTGTGTGGTTGTTGTGTGTGTGGTGTGTGGGTGTGTGTTGTGTGTGTGGTGTTGGGGTGTGTGTGTGTGTGTGTGTGGGGGTTTTGGTGTGGTGTGTGTGTGGTGTGTGTGTGGTGTGTGGTGTGTGGGTGGTTTGTGTGTGTGGGTGTGTGTGTGTGTGTGGTGTGGGTTGGTGTGTGGGTGTGTGGTTGGGGTGTGGTGTTGTGTGTGGTGTGTGTGTGGTGTGTGTGTGGTGTGGTGTGTGTGGTGTGGGTGTGTGTGCGTGTGTGTGTGTGTGTGTGTGTGGTGTGTGTGTGTGGTGTGTTGTGTGTGTGTGTTGTGGTGTGTGTGTGGGGTTGTGTGTGTGTGTGTGGTGTGTGTGGTGTGTAGTTGGTGTGTGTTTGTGTGTGTGTGTGTGTGTGTGTGGTGTGTGTGTGTGGGGTGTGTGTGTGTGGGGTGTGTGTGGTTGTGTGTGTGTGTGGTGTGTGTGGGTGTGTGTGTGTGGTGTGTGTGTGTGTGGTGTGTGTGTGTGTGTGTGTGTGTGTGTGTGTGTGTGGTGTGTGTGGTGTGTGTGTGGTGTGTGTGTGTGGTGTGTGTTGTTGGGGTTTTGTGTGGTGTGTGTGTGTGTGTGTGGTGTTGTGTGGGGTGTGGTTGTGTGTGGGGTGGTGTGTGTGTGGTGTGTGTGGTGTGTGTGTGTGTGTGTTGTGTGTGTTGTGTGTGGGTGTGTGGTGTGTGTGGTGGGGTGTTGGTGGTGTGTGTGGTGTGTGGTTGTGGTGTGGTGTGTGTGTGGGTGGGGTGTGTGTGGTGTGTGTGTGTGGTGGGGGTGTGTGGGTGTGTGTGGTTGTGTGTGGGGTTGTGTGTGGTGGTGGGTGGGGGTGTGTGTGTGTGTGTGGTGTGTGTGTGTGGTGTGTGTGTGGTTGGGGGTGTGGGGTTTTGTGTGTGTGTGGGGGTGTGTGTGTGTGGTGTGTGTGTGGTGGTGTGGTGTTGTGTGTGGTTGTTGTGGGGTGGGGTGGTGTGTGTGTGGTGTGTGTGTGTGTGTGGTGTGTGTGTGGTGTGTTGTGTGGGGTGGGTGTGTGTGTGTGGTGTGTGTGTGTGTGGGTGTGTGTGTGTGTGGTGTGTGTTGTGTGTGTGTGTGTGTGTGGTGTGTGTGTGTGTGTGTGGTGTGTGTGGTGTGGTGGTGTGTGTGTGGTGTGTGTGTGTGTGTGTGGTGTGTGTGTGGTGTGTGTGTGTGTGTGTGTGGTGTTGTGGTGTGTGTGTGGTGTGTGTGTGTGGTGTGTGGTGTGTGTGTGTGTGGTGTGTGTGTGTGTGGTGTGGTGTGTGTGGTGTTGTGTGGTGTGTGTGGTGTGTGGTGTTGTGTGGGGTGTGTGGTGTGTGTGGTGTGTGTGGTGTGTGTGTGGTGTGTGGGGTGTGTGTGGTGTGGTGTGGGTGTGTGTGTGGTGGTGGGTGTGTGTGGTGTGGTGTGGTGTGTGTGGGTGTGTGGTGTGTGTGTGTGGTGTGTGTGTGGTGTGGTGGTGTGTGGTGTGGGTGTGTGTGGGTGTGTGGGTGTGTGTGTGGTGTGTGGTGTTGTGGTGTGTGTGGGGTGTGTGTGTGGTGTGTGTGTGGTGTGTGTGTGGTGTGTGTGTGGTGTGGGTGTGTGTGGTGTGTGTGTGTGGTGTGTGTGTGTGGTGTGGTGGTGTGTGGTGTGTGTGGGTGGTGTGTGTGGTGTGTTGTGGTTGTGTGGTGTGTGGTGTGTGTGGTTGTGTGTGTGTGTGTGTGGTGTGTGTGTGTGTGTGTGTGGTTTGTGTGTGTGTGTTGTGTGGTGTGTGTGGTGTGTGTGGTGTGTGTGATGTGTGTGGTGTGTGTGTGGTGTGTGTGTTGTGTGTGTGTGTGGTGTGTGTGTTGTGGGGTGTGCGTGTTGTGGGGGGTTGCGTGTGTGTGGGGGTGTGCGTGTGTGGGGGTGTACGTGTGTGGGGGGTGTGCGTGTGTGGGGGGGTGCGTGTGTGGGTGAGGGTGTGTGGGTGTGCATGTGTGTGTGCAGGGGAGGTGCGTGTGTGTGGGGGTGTGGTGTGGGGTGTGTGTGTGGGGTGTGTGCGTGTGTGGGGGGGTGTGTGGGGGGTGTGATGGGGGTGGTGTGTGGTGGGGGGTGTGTGGGGGGTGTGGGGGTGGGGGGTGTGGGGGGGGGGGGTGTGGGGGTGTGTGGGGGGGTGGGGGGGTGTGGGGGGGGGGGGGGGTGGGGGGGGTGTGTGGGGTGTGTGTGGGGGTGGGGGGGGGTGTGGGGGGTGTGGGGGTGTGTGGGTGGGGGTTGGGGGGGGGGGGGTGTGTGGGGGGGGGTGTGTGGGGGGGTGTGGGTTGGGGGGTGTGCGTGAGTGCGTGTGTGTGCATGTGTATGCGTGTGCCCGTGTATGCGTGTGGTGTGTGCTTGTGTATGACTTAAAATCAACAGAAATATTTGAAAAAACTTATATAAGCACAGTCAAATTACCACTGCCCTCTAGTTATGAACTGCTGTTATTTTCTGAACCCTGATAATGCTCTGTCTTGCAACTGCATAACAAATAAACATGTTATCCCAGTAGCTTACCTTTATCCTCAAGTGGATTGTGCGAGAGGTCAAGTTTCTGCAATGGAATGTTGCTATTGGACAAAAGTGCCAATGACAGCTTGTTAGCAAATTCTCTGGAAAAAAAAAATAGAAAATTCAAAGTTAAAATTTAAAATCTTTAAGCACTCATGAAGATAGATTTTAAAACCATTTTTTTAACACAGCTGTCATTTCCTATTAAGATAGTGTGAAAAAAAAAAAAAGCTATCCTTCAGTCAATAGCTGTCTTGCCAGAAGTGTGAAGACATCACAATTGTAATGACTTTTAACTGCAACATACCCAACCCCTCCTTTTCTAAATACACACTTCATTTGAACTTTATACAGCACTAAAATATAAACAAGAAAATTTTGAAAACCCTATAAAAACTAAGCAATATTTAACAATTCTTAAAACAGCTGAAAAACTTCCTCTGCACTACTACTGCTAATGATATTGTCAAATATGTCTGATGACTTGCTGATCAATGTTCTTAACTTCCTCAACAAGTGAATCTATGACCAATAAGGCTTCATTTTCATTTTCTGGAAAGCTGACTCTTGAATCTTCATATTATTTATCAATTGAACTGCAGATGTCAATCCACTATTTATGAAAGCTTAACACACAAAAACTATACTCTCTCTCTTCTACTTGATTTGCTATAGTCATTCCTCTTGCACTACTTCTCTCATACTCTCATTCAACTCATACCAGTTTTTCTGTCTTGCTGGTCTTTATTATCAATAATTCAACATCTCCTTGCTATTGCATTTTTTCCCTCATCAATTCTATGATTAACCTCATCCTTCATAAATCCATCCGCCGACACGTCAACTCCCAAGTATCTGAAAACATTCACTTCTTCTATACTCCTCCTCCCCAATTTGATATCCAATTTTTCTTTATCTAAATCATTTGACACCCTCATCACCTTACTCTTTTCTATGTTCACTTTCAACTTTCTACCATTACACACATTCCCAAACTCATCCCTAACCTTCGCAATTTTTCTTTAGAACCTCCCATAAGCACAGTATCATCAGCAAAAAGTAACTGTCAATTCCCATTTTGAATTTGATTCCCCAAAATTTAATCCCGCCCCTCTCCCGAACACCCTAGCATTTACTTCCTTTATAACCCCATCTATAAATATATTGAACAACCATGGTGACATTACACATCCCTGTCTAAGACCTACTTTTACCAGGAAGTAGTCTCCCTCTCTTCTACACCCCCTAACCTGAGCCTCACTATCCTCATAAAAACTCTTTACGGCATTTAATAACTTACCACCTATTTCATATACTTGCAACATCTGCCACATTGCTCCTCTATCCACTATCGTGTGCCTTTTCTAAATCCATAAATGCAATAAAAACTTCCCTACCTTTATCTAAATACTGTTCACATATATGCTTCAATGTAAACACTTGATCTACACATCCCCTACCCATTCTGAAACCTCCTTGCTCATCCGCAATTCTACATTCTGTCTTACCTCTAATTCTTTCAATTATAACCCTACCGTACACTTTTCCTGGTATACTCAGTAAACTTATTCCTCTATAATTTTTACAGTCTCTTTTGTCCCCTTTACCTTTATATAAAGGGACTATACATGCACTCCGCCAATCCCTAGGTACCTTCCCCTCTTTCATACATTTATTAAACAAAAGTACCAACCACTCCAACACTATATCCCCCCCTGCTTTTAACATTTCTGTCATGATCCCATCAGTTCCAGCTGCTTTACTCCCTTTCATTTTACGTAATGCCTCACGTACCTCCCCCACACTTACATTCTGCTCTTCTTCACTCCTAAAAGATGGTATACCTCCCTGACCAGTGCATGAAATTACTGCCTCTGTTTCTTCCTTAACATTTAAAAGTTCCTCAAAATATTCTCGCCACCTACCTAATACCTCCATCTCCCCATCTAACTCCCCTACTCGGTTTTTAACTGACAAATCCATACTTTCCCTAGGCTTTCTTAACTTGTTTAACTCACTCCAAAATTTTTTCTTATTTTCATTAAAATTTCTTGACAGTGCCTCTCCCACTATCATCTGCTCTCCTTTTGCACTCTCTCACCACTCTCTTCACCTTTCTTTTACTCTCCATATACTCTGCTCTTCTTATAACACTTCTGCTTCGTAAAAACCTCTCATAAGCTACCTTTTTCTCTTTTATCACACCCTTTACTTCATCATTCCACCAATCACTCCTCTTTCCTCCTGCCCCCACCCTCCTATAACCACAAACTTCTGCCCCACATTCTAATACTGCTTTTTTAAAACTATTCCAACCCTCTTCAACCCCCCCACTACCCATCTTTGCACTAGCCCACCTTTCTGCCAATAGTCGCTTATATCTCACCCGAACTTCCTCCTCCCTTAGTTTATACACTTTCACCTCCCTCTTACTTGTTGTTGCCACCTTCCTCTTTTCCCATCTACCTCTTACTCTAACTGTAGCTACAACTAAATAATGATCCGATATATCAGTTGCCCCTCTATAAACATGTACATCCTGGAGACTACCGATCAACCTTTTATCCACCAATACAATCTAATAAACTACTTTCATTACATGCTACATCATACCTTGTATATTTATTTATCCTCTTTTTCATAAAATATGTATTACTTATTACCAAATCTCTTTCTAGACATATATATATATATATATATATATATATATATATTTTTTTTCAACAAGTCGGCCGTCTCCCACCGAGGCAGGGTGACCCAAAAAAGAAAGAAAATCCCCAAAAAGAAAATACTTTCATCATCATTCAACACTTTCACCACACTCACACATCATCACTGCTTTTGCAGAGGTGCTCAGAATACAACAGTTTAGAAGCATATACGTATAAAGATACACAACATATCCCTCCAAACTGCCAATATCCCAAACCCCTCCTTTAAAGTGCAGGCATTGTACTTCCCATTTCCAGGACTCAAGTCTGACTATATGAAAATAACCGGTTTCCCTGAATCCCTTCACTAAATATTACCCTGCTCACACTCCAACAGATCGTCAGGTCCCAAGTATCATTCGTCTCCATTCACTCCTATCTAACACGCTCATGCACGCTTGCTGGAAGTCAAAGCCCCTTGCCCACAAAACCTCCTTTACCCCCTCTTTCCAACCCTTTCGAGGACGACCCCTACCCCTCCTTCCTTCCCCTATAGATTTACATGCTTTCCATGTCATTGTACTTTGATCCATTCTCTCTAAATGACCAAACCACCTCAACAACCCCTCTTCTGCCCTCTGACTTATGCTTTTATTAACTCCACACCTTCTCCTAATTTCCACACTCCGAATTTTCTGCATAATATTTACACCACACATTGCCCTTAGACAGGACATCTCCACTGCCTCCAACCGTCTCCTCGCTGCTGCATTTACCACCCAAGCTTCATATCCATATAAGAGTGTTGGTACTACTATACTTTCATACATTCCCTTCTTTGCCTCCATAGATAACGTTTTTTGACTCCACATATACCTCAACGCACCACTCGCCTTTTTTCCCTCATCAATTCTATGATTAACCTCATCCTTCATAAACCCATCCGCCGACACGTCAACTCCCAAGTATCTGAAAACATTCACTTCTTCCATACTCCTCCTCCCCAATTTGATATCCAATTTTTCTTTATCTAAATCATTTGATACCCTCATCACCTTACTCTTTTCTATGTTCACTTTCAACTTTATACCTTTACACACATTCTCAAACTCATCCACTAACCTTTGCAATTTTTCTTTAGAATCTCCCATAAGCACAGTATCATCAGCAAAAAGTAACTGTCAGTTCCCATTTTGAATTTGATTCCCCATAATTTAATCCCACCCCTCTCCCGAACACCCTAGCATTTACTTCTTTTACAACCCCATCAATAAATATATTAAACAACCATGGTCATATTACACATCCCTGTCTAAGACCTACTTTTACCGGGAAGTATTCTCCCTCTCTTCTACATACCCTAACCTGAGCCTCACTATCCTCATAGAAGCTCTTTACAGCATTTAGTAACTTACCACCTATTCCATATACTTGCAACATGTGCCACATTGCTCCACTATCCACTATCATGTGCCTTTTCTAAATCCATAAATGCAATAAAAATTTCCCTACCTTTATCTAAATACTTTTCACATATATGCTTCAATGTAAACACTTGATCTACACATCCCCTACCCACTCTGAAGCCTCCCTGCTCATCTGCAATCCTACATTCTGTCTTACTTCTAATTCTTTCAATAATAGCCCTACCGTATACTTTTCCTGGTATATTCAGTAAACTTATTCCTCTATAATTTTTACGATCTCTTTTTGTCCCCTTTCCCTTTATATAAATGGACTATACATGCTCTCCGCCAATCCCTAGGTACCTTCCCCTCTTTCATACATTAAACAAAAGTACCAACCACTCCAACACTATATCCCCCCCTGCTTTTAACATTTCTGTCATGATCCCATCAGTTCCAGTTGCTTTACCCCCTTTCATTCTATGTAATGCCTCACATACATCCACCACACTTACATTCTGCTCTTATTCACTCCTAAAAGATGGTATACCTCCCTGGCCAGTGCAGTCCCTCTTTTCCTGCCATAGCTTATCCTTCAACATTATTGCTACTCCTCCTTTAGCTCTAACTCTATTTGAAACCCCTGACCTAATCCCATTTATTCCTCTCCATTGAAACTCTCCCACCCCCTTCAGCTTTGTTTCACTTAAAGCCAGGACATCCAGTTTCTTCTCATTCATAACATCCACAATCATCTCTTTCTTATCATTTGCACAACAGCCACGCACATTCAGACTTCCCACTTTGACAATTTTCTTCTTATTCTTTTTAGTAATCTTTACAGGAAAAGGGGTTACTAGCCCATTGTTCCCAGCATTTTAGTTGACTTTTACAACACGCATGGCTTACGGAGGAAAGATTCTTATTCCACTTCCCCATGGATATAAAAGGAAAAGTAATAAGACCAAGAACGATTAAGATAAAATCAAAGAAAACTCAGATGAGTGTGTATAAATAAATGTGTACATGTACGTGTAGTGTGACCTAAGTGTAAGTAGAAGTAGCAAGACATGCCTGTAATCTTGCATATTTATGAGACAGACAAAAGACACCAGCAATCCTACCATCATGTAAAACAATTACAGGCTTTCGTTTTACACTCACTTGGCAGGACGGTAGTACCTCCCTGGGTGATTGCTGTCTACCAACCTACTACTTATAATATATATATATATATATATATATATATATATATATATATATATATATATATATATATATATATATATATATATATATTACACACACACACACAAGCGCACACAAGCGCACACACACACACACACACACACACACACACACACACACAACACACACACACACACACACACACACACACACACACACACACACACACACACACACACCATCCGACTTACGACCACTCGACTTACGACCGTGTTTTTTATGCCAAATTTCTGGGAAATAAAAAACTATTTGTGTTGTACACAGTGTTTATCCTAAACCTTACAGTATAAAATACAGTACTAACAACATAAAAAGTAAATTAAAACATAAAATACCAAAATAAAACAATAAAATAAAGTGATTACAAAAATGTTTTGTTGATATTCAGTAGTAAAATTCGACTTACGACCATTTCGACTTACGACCGGTTTCTCGGAACCGAACTCGGTCTTAAGTCGGATGGTATATACAGAGATAGAGAGATAGAGACAGAGATAGAGACAGAGATAGAGACAGAGAGAGACAGAGAGAGACAGAGATAGAGACAGATAGAGAGATAGAGAGATAGAGAGAGATAGAGAGAGAGAGAGAGGGAGGTAGAGAGAGGGAGGTAGAGAGAGAGAGGTAGAGAGAGAGAGGTAGAGAGAGAGGTAGAGAGAGAGGTAGAGAGAGAGAGAGGTAGAGAGAGAGAGAGGGTAGAGAGAAAGAGGTAGAGAGAGAGAGGTAGAGAGAGAGAGATAGTGAGAGAGAGATAGTGAGAGAGAGATAGTGAGAGAGAGATAGTGAGAGATAGAGATAGAGAGAGATAGAGATAGAGAGAGATATATATAGAGAGAGATATATAGAGAGATAGAGAGAGAGATAGAGAGAGAGATAGAGAGAGAGATAGAGATAGAGAGATAGAGAGAGATAGAGAGAGATAGAGAGAGATAGAGAGAGATATAGAGAGAGATAGAGAGAGAGATAGAGAGAGAGATAGAGAGAGAGATAGAGAGAGAGATAGAGATAGAGAGATAGAGAGAGATAGAGAGAGATAGAGAGAGATAGAGAGAGATATAGAGAGAGATAGAGAGAGAGATAGAGAGAGAGATAGAGAGAGAGATAGAGAGAGAGAGAGAGAGAAAGAGAGAGATAGAGAGAGAGAGAGAGATAGAGAGATAGAGATAGAGAGAGATAGAGAGATAGAGAGATAGAGATAGAGAGAGATAGAGAGATAGAGAGAGAGAGATAGAGAGAGAGATAGATAGATAGATAGAGAGAGATAGAGAGAGAGAGAGAGAGAGAGAGATAGAGAGAGACAGAGATAGAGAGATAGATATATATATATATATAATTTTATTAATATTTCAGGTGTTCAAATCTTTATTAAATTAGGTAACCTTTAAAATATTTTTATCAATAGCCTTAAGATCTTAAACCAGGCAGCTTTGACAGGTGGAATACTAAACTGATAGTCAAGTCTCATATCCAGAAAGCAGAGGATCAAGGATTTTCAATGAAGTGAATTTATGAATACTATATTACAACTGCCTTCCCAGCAGACACATGGTGTTACACTGATCTTTCAGCATCATTTCAACATTTAAATAGATAGGGTCTTTTACCCTAACAATTTGATTAAATGTTGAAGCACCAAAGTAATGCCATGTGCCTGCTTTGTTTGGAAATTAAGGCTGAAAAATCCAAAATTTTGCCTTTATTAATTAATCATTCTGGATAACTGGCACTTTACTGGAGTACCTCAGTTTGGAACTAAATATTCTTGTAAAGTGGAGAAAGTAGTAAATGTGTTATTCTTGTGTCTTGATGTGTATTACAAAGTGTACACTATATTAAAATAAATACTTACGCTTTGGCACCAATATTATCTAAATATACTTCTTCTAAGCTAAGTGACTTGCTAACCACGTGTAAAATCCGTTCTATTGCTTCATGGGAGAGTTTACTGTGACTTGCCCGAAGTTTGCGAAACCATGTGTTGTACTCGAGTGCACTTATTATAGGGATGAGGTCTCTGTGGAATGAGAATATTTATAACCATCATGTTAACAACAACATTGTAAGCAATATTATATACAGTGCTCTTGATTATTATTTAAATTTATGCAGTAATTCACAATGTAAGTTGTATTTTCTTATAAATATAGTAAAAATAACTCCAAAGGAACACTCAAGAGAGGTAAAAATAATACAGTCGAGTCACCTTACTAATACTCCAGCCCGTTAGGTTTCAGACCACTGTCTCCCCCCCCCCTTTTCTTTACTTGCCATTGCTTTATATAAAAGCCTAAAAACATGTTTACACTATCATTTATAAAGTGTGCAACTGCACTAGGCCTAAAACACCTAAGTGCAAAATTAAAAATAATAAGCTTAGAAAGTTGCCAAAAGCATCTTACGAGGAAAGCAAGTGCCAAAAATAATAAACATGACTATAATTCAAAAGCACTGCATTAACAAAGCGATCTAAAGTGAGTGCGCTCCTAACAAGGTATGCCTGTACTTTAATTTTTTGCTGCTACTTGATCTTTATACATTTTATCCACCGGCCAAACTTATTTTCCTGTTCTTTAATGTTGGCTTCACACTTCATTTTTTCTTCTTTTACACATTCACCTCTTATCTCGTTTGTTTTATAAATGTATATTTTCTCTAATCAAATATTCTTTTCACACAATGTTACTCGCTGTCGAAGAAATTGCAACGAGCAAGTCAAATGATACACTGAAGTAAAGATGGATATTCTACTTTTCTGTCCCTTTTCTCCTTTGTAGCAAATAACATTCAGGGATCAAGTACTGATCTACACCAAATATATCAATAGCCTACTATCTAGCAGAAAGGTATACAGAGTTCTTATAAACATTCTTATTCTTACATAACTTCAAAATGCAAATATTTTTTTCAGACGTTCAACTTTTCACACAAACTTTACTCTGCTTGCTACTTTACTTCCTCCCTTCAGGCTCACTTGTATGAACAAGTTTAATTTCATTTAGCAAATTTTGGAAAAGTAGACAAAATCTGCTTGGTACAATATTGCCTGTTTTTCTTACTTCACAAAGCAGCCAGTAGGCAACTACTCAGATTATGATTGCTAGTACATTCTGAGGTACAAAGTTGTCATTTACTCTCCATTTTCAAAGGATTAGCTGTGTTTATCTTTAATTTATTATAATATAGTATAAAGTACACTGGGATCAGAAGCAAGTACTAGCATTAAGAGGAAGTGTGTAAGTAATACTTTGTAAGAAAAAAAATGATAAAGAAGTTGGAGGATGCTGTGACAGTGACCTACACCAGCAAGGAATATGGCTGCTTCTTTAAACAAGTACAATGACATCTGAAACAAGAGACGTTCTGGCATACTGCTAACACTTTTACTTTTAAACATTTTGTGCCTCTACCCTTCTCTCTCTCCAACCATTTACATGTAGGTCAAAGTGTCAAGGCTCCTATGATAAGAAAAGAAAAAATTCCAAATCACCACTGAATAATCATAGCAAAACAATGATCATTAAAGAATATCTGTAAACTGAGCATATAGTATTACATTAACCCTTTCACTGTCGGTGCCGTATGGGTATGGCTTACAAGACAGCACTGGCGACGTATCTGGAGTTTATCTGGAGAGAGTTCCGGGGGTCAATGCCCCCGCGGCCCGGTCTGTGACCAGGCCTCCTTAGGTCAGTGTCCCAGGATGCAACCCACACCAGTCGACTAACACCCAGGTACCCATTTTACTGATGGGGAACATAGACAACAAGTGGAAAGAAACACGTCCAATGTTTCTACTCTGGCTGGGAATCGAACCCAGGCCCTCACCGTGTGAAGCGAGAGCGTTAACCACCAGGCCACCAGAGCCCAGTATGCCCAGTATGCCAAAATTCTAGCGGTTCCAAATCTAGCAGGAGAAAGCTGGTACACCTACGTGTGAGAGAATGGGTCTGTGTGGTTAGTGTGTGCAGTATAAAAAAAAAATTGGTGAGCCAGTGGTGCATTGTGGGAGTCCCATTTCAGGAGGCATTGTTTACCATAAACCATACCACGGGTGGGATTTGAACCCGCGGTCAGAGAGTCTCAAAACTCCAGCCCGTCGTGTTAGCCACTGGACCAGCTATGCTAACCTTCCTATGGTGTAGAAATAAACCTAGTTGGACGAATCTTATTGTGGGTAGCTGGTCCAGTGGCTAACGCGACGGTCTGGAGTTTTGAGACTCTGATCGCGGGTTCAAATCCCGCCCGTGGGATGGTTTGTTTGCAATCATGTCATTACGATTTCTTGAGTCTTGTTTACCATACTCTGCGGTAAGGAGTACCTCATTCCCTGGCGAATTGGGACTTCTATTCCCAAGTGATAGTTCTAATACAGATGGAAGTGTCAGTGAAGATGAACTTCATGGTTCTGAGGAGTTTCTAACCAAAAGCAATGCAAAGGATGTCAGAAATAGTGCTGAAAGCCCAGACAAACATCAACCTAGGATAACCCAAAAAAGTCAAAGTGACTTATTTCCATATGGGTGGTGGGGAAGATGGTATATGTAATGGGTGGTGGTGGTTGTGTAATGCGTCATGTGACACCAGCCATGCCACACTCGCCACATCCACAACAAAGGCTACCTTCAATCACCTACACACAATCTTCCACAAACTGTAGCAGCTCTAGGAATGTGTCCAGTATATTTATGTGTATATATATTCCACAAACTGAAGCAGCTCTAGGAATGTGTCCAGTATACTTATGTGTATATATATATTATAGAACCTAGGTAGTAGGTTGGTAGACAGCAACCGCGGGGGGGGGTACTACCGTCCTGCCAAGCTAGTGTAAAACAAAAGCCTGTAATTGTTTTACATGATGGTAGGATTGCTGGTGTCCTTTTTTCTGTCTCATGAACATGCAAGATTTCAGGTACAGCTTGCTACTTCTACTTACACTTAGGTCACACTACACATACATGTACAAGCGTATTTATACACACCCCTCTGGGTTTTCTTATATTTTCTTTCTAGTTCTTGTTCTTGTTTATTTCCTCTTATCTCCATGGGGAAGTGGAACAGAATTCTTCCTCTGTACGCCATGCGTGTTGTAAGAGGCAACTAAAATGCCGGGAGCAAGGGGCTAGTAACCCGTTCTCCTGTATACAGTGGACCCCCGCTTAACGATCACCTCCAAATGCGACCAATTATGTAAGTGTATTTATGTAAGTGCGTTTGTACGTGTATGTTTGGGGGTCTGAAATGGACTAATCTACTTCACAATATTCCTTATGGGAAAAAATTCGGTCAGTACTGGCACCTGAACATACTACTGGAATGAAAAAAGTTCGTTAACCGGGGGTCCACTGTATATTACTAAATGTAAAAGGAGAAACTTTCATTTTTCCTTTTGGGCCACCCTGCCTCGGTGGGATACGGCCGATGTGTTGAAAGAAAAAGATATTATAGAACAATAGTAATAAACAACTTTTATTATTGTTGGTTTGTGTAAACAGGTTTTGTAAACAATATAATAATGATAATATTTCTGCGTTTATTGAGAGGCATACAACGAGTGGATATATACAGTAGGGTCCCACTTATACAGCAGGTTAGGTTCCATGCTACTGCCGGAAAGCAGAACTCCTTTTTTTTCCTATTTATAAATGCTTATCAGTACCAGAGAACAAGTTTACACTAATATATATTAAGTTAGCAATAGAACTAGGCAATAAAAAGTAAAATACACACACAGTACACTCATTATTTACCTCAAAATATTTATCGTCTTATTGTAGGGCAAAAGGCGAGTAGCATTTACTGTAAGAAGGTGTGGTATCCCTCCTGGCCATCCCACCCACACATACTATACTACAATGCTTAAAGCTCCCTAGAGCAATAAAATGCATATACAGTACACTCATTACTTACCTTAATATATTTGAAGTGTTAATGGTCTTAATATAGGGTGAGAGGTGAAAATTATTTATTTGTAGAAAGTCATGTGGGAGAGCCTGGCCACTCCCATCTACGACGACATTAAGCTCCCTAGAGCGATAAAATGCATATATAGTACACTCATTAATTACCTTAAAATGTGTGTAGTCTTAATGTAGGGCAAGAGGTGAGTTTTATAGGAAGTCAGGTTTGCCAAGTATGGGTAGTCTGCAGGGGCACCCTTCCCGATCCCACACGTAATGTAAACAAACCAGACGAACACATCTGGTTTCATCACTTTACATTATGTACAAGTTGTCTCCACACTGATACAATATAATCAATAAAGAGAAACCCTCCCATTCTCACCTAACACCATTTTTAAAAGAAATGACGCCATGAGTGAAGGCATACGTAAGGAATAATTTTCTAGTTACCCCCAGTAATATCATAGTGTACACATTTTCTCTGATGTTGGGCTACAGGTCATCTGGCGACCAGAAGTCCTACAAGTCGCCTGGCTACCACAAGTCCTACAAGTCGCCTGGCTACCACAAGTCCTACAAGTCGCCTGGCTACCACAAGTCCTACAAGTCGCCTGGCTACCACAAGTCCTACAAGTCGCCTGGCTACCACAAGTCCTACAAGTCGCCTGGCTACCACAAGTCCTACAAGTTGCCTGGCTACCACAAGTCCTACAAGTCGCCTGGCTACCACAAGTCCTACAAGTCGCCTGGCTACCACAAGTCCTACAAGTCGCCTGGCTACCACAAGTCCTACAAGTCACCTGGCTACCACTAGTCCTACAAGTCGCCTGGCTACCACGAGTCCTACAAGTCGCCTGGCTACCACGAGTCCTACAAGTCGCCTGGCTACCTCAAGTCCTACAAGTTGCCTGGCTACCACAAGTCCTACAAGTCGCCTGGATACCACAAGCCCTACAAGTCGCCTGGATACCACAAGTCCTACAAGTCGCCTGGATACCACAAGTCCTACAAGTCGCCTGGATACCACAAGTCCTACAAGTCGCCTGGATACCACAAGTCCTACAAGTCGCCTGGCTACCACAAGTCCTACAAGTCGCCTGGCTACCACAAG